CTGTGGGCGAGCTACAAGCAAAAATCCTACAACACCCTTCGCGTTCAGTACAATAATGCTTTCAGAGTGCTGTTGGGGCTGCCTCGATGCTGCAGCGCATCAGGGATGTTTGTAGAAGCGCGCGTCGATTGCTTCTATGCCACTATGCGTAAAAGATGCGCATCCCTGGTGCACAGGGTGCGAGCCAGCCCCAACGCCATTCTACATATGATTGCCAGCAGACTGGATTGTGCATATATCAATCACTGCATAAAGCTGCACGTGGCAAGCGATAATTGTACAGTTTAGAATAACATTTGGATGTATGTGTGACTAACATAGGTATTAAGTTTTTTCTATTACTAACAAACTATGAGCAAAAAAAGTGTAGCTTGAAATAAAGTTTATTATTATTATTATTATATTATATGTAATCACTTAGTAACATTTCGTTCAGTTTTCATGCAGCCTAAATCATAATGTGACTGGGATATTATTTTTATCAATACGTAGTATGGAGAGTCACTATGGCCATGGGTTCAAATAGGACTTTGGTGGACAATCAAACATGTTGGGCCTTAACGCCTCTACTTTCTACTCTTACCTAAAGGTCTCTTGCAAGTCATTTCGAATTTTGATAAATGTGTATAAAATCACTGTAAATTTCGTAAAAAATCACTGGAACATAATTTTGGTGCAGCTAAGCGGCTTGACGGCCGATAGCAAACAAATGAATTGACAACTTCATATTTAATCGCTGTACATTTTGTGAGGAGGTTTCATACATTCAGTGCTTAGAGGTTCGTTTTAATTTGTATTATTATAATGTGAAAAACACCTTTGACCTTTCAGCTCAAACCAACGCCCTCTTGGCCCGGAGGTGTAAAGGACGCCGATCAATGGACATTCTGTTTTTAGAGGAGCCAATGAATTTCGCACTACCGATCACTTAAGTACTAAAATTAGTATATCCTCTACAATTTTAAATATTACATTAGTGTATAGTAATAGTATACAATAATAGCTTTTGCTGAAAGCAAAAATAAAGAATGAAAAAACGCAAAATCAATAACTTTATTTATTTAAAGCTTATCAAATGTAAGGTATCATATATGCAGATATGTTTTATTGCAATTAAAATGATTCAAAACTCGTTCTATTTGTGTGTGGGGGGAGGGAAGGGGTGGAGTTAGCGTAGCGGAGTAAGCTCGGCCCCTTCTTCTTCGCTGTCATCGTCAGTCGGTGTTCCAGCCCCCCACTATTGATAAAAATCTATTTAAACATGTCATCTAAAACAGAGATTTTGTTAAAGTGATATTTGTTCACGTTTTTAGTTAGTTTGTTAGAGCGTGTGCCGAAATTGTAGTCCTCTTTCCCTTTCTTATTATTTAATAAGATTAATTTCAGATGTATGGATAGACGGATGTTTGTTAGAGTTTGTAGCCTAAACGATCGGATCTGGATGAATTTGGCATATTTAGAGCATAGTCTCTAAGA